CATAAATGTCTATATTGTTCATCTTTAACTCATTGACTCAATTTTCTGATTGATGAGTCTCTTGTAGAAAGACAATATACAGCTTGTTTTTCCTCAACAATGCTTCTTCTTCTTTTCACTGTTGATCCCAGGCCTTTAACGTTTAAAGTTGCAAGTCTTATTTTTCTACCCATGTTAGTTCCAAAGTTCTTTTTCCAATAGGTCCCGTGTGTAACCTTGCCTCCCACCAACCTACCAAAAATAAACTAAAACATAAAATAGACATAACAGCACCCCATAATTGATATTCACCAATTTTGTGTACATATACATTCACATCCTCTCCACCATGGTCCCATGCCATGACCACTGGCATGAGCAAAAGGTGGGGGGGAGATGCCACCATCGTCCAGCAGAACCACGACCAGAGCCTCCTGTACAATGTTACGAGCCTCTATCCAAAGTTCTTCAGGCACTCTGTCCACCAAATCTAGTTCCTTAAATCTGTTCTTTACTTCCACTGTGTATTCATAAGGGATTTGGTTTAGATTATACCTGAGAAGCCCAGTGGTTTTTCCTACTCTCTTCAGTTTAAGCTTGAATTTTGCTATGAGAAGCTGATGATCAGAGCCGCAGTCAACTTCAGGTCTTGTTTTTGTTGACTGTATAGAACTTCTTCATCTTTGGCTGCAGAGAATATAATCAATCTGATTTCAATATTGCCCATCTGGTGATTTCCATGTATAAAGTCGCCTCTTGTGTTATTGGAAAAGAATGTTTGTGATGACCAGCTTGTTCTCTGTTAATCATAGAATCATAGAATAATGGAGTTGAAAGGGGCCTATTAAGGCCATTCAATCCAACTCCAGTTGCTCAATGCAAGAATCAAAATCAAAATAGATCTGACAGAAGGTTGTCCAATTTTCTCTTCAATGGCTCCAGCGCCAGAGTGCTCCCACAGCTGGAGGTCCATCTGACCTCAAAGAAAGTCATGCCGATTCATCACTATCCCTTTTTTGTTTGTACATATTTTCTTTCAAAATGAAAAAAACAAAAGCAACACAATGCCTGAAATGCAGCAGTGCTAACTTACTCTGCAGAAGGCTGATGATGTCATCAGCTGTGGCTTTTTTTTTTTTTTGAAAGAAATCATGTCCAAATTCCTCCTGGCTGTCATTGATGTTAATGTCAGAAACCATAGGGTTGACAGAAAATGGAATATAATACCTTGGTTGATCATCCTTGCCTGCAACTGTTACATTTTGTTGGTGGTTTCTCTAGAAATTGCTTTTGGTGAGTGCAAATGGCCTTCTCCAACCTGGTATTTTTCTGATGTATACAAATGCCACAATAAGATTGCTGGCTAGGAATGACGGCATCTGTAGTCCAAAATATCTGGAAAGCACCAAGTTGGAGAAGGCTGTTGTTAAAGTGTGGTATCTAATGACCTGTGTAATTATACGTTGTCACTGATCTGCTGCATCTTTCCTTTGCACCCTTTTTAACCATGCACACATTCTATTCACTCACTCTTCAAATACCATGGATGAGGTGAAAGAATGGCATTAAACTCATAATAATTTCATGGATGTTGGCAAGTCTTCCAGTCCAAGTCTTCTGGCCCAAGTCCAAGTCTCAGTCTTTGGGTCTTGGGTCTTGAGTCCTTTGTCCTGCCCCGGGGGCAAACGACCCAGGACTCAGGACACAAGGCTTGGGACTGGGACCCAAAGATTTAGACTGCACAGTGGCACTGCTCTGGGCTGGCTTCTGGCGTTGTGCCACAGCTGATCTGGGCAGCAAAGCTGGGCACTGCATCCTAAATTGCAGCAAAGCCAGGTCACTGTGGCTGAGCAGGCCCTGCACTGCCCAGCTGATGGGTGGGGAAGCCAGGCTGCAGAGTCCTGGAGCACAGCAGTGCTACTCTGACATGGCTCCTGGGGCCATGCCACAGTTGAGCAGGGCAGCGAAGCTGACTATTGCATCCTAGATCACACCAACATGTCTCTTGGCTGACTCTGTGTGCCATGCCATAGCCACGCAGATTCCAACAAAATTACTCCTTCCTCTGCCCTTTCCAGCTCACATACAATCCAGATCCCTGCACCACGCACAAAGTGCATGCACCGAAACAGCGGTCCAATTTCCCTTCCTGAAGCTGCACCTGCTTCTGCACCTGCTGGCTATCAGCTGAGTGGAGAATGCATGGGTGGAGACAGCAGGTGACTGAGGGGAAGAAAAGGCAGAAGGGATTGGGAGGAGGCGAGGAGAAGAGGTTGGTTGAGGGGCAGGACAGAAGAAGAAGGTGGGGAAAGCTGAATGGGGAGGGAAGGAAAGCTTGGCTTGGCTTGGCTTGGCTTGGCTTGGCTGACTGGAGGCTGTCAAGAAACCAAAGAAATGTGGAGCAAGGGCATTCACATATGTGGAATCGATTCATTGGAATCCATCTCAAAATTAACAGACCTTTGGCAGGACAGCAGAAAAACTCACTCCCCTGGCAGAGTATCCGTCTGTGCACATGCCTCGTTT